GTACAGAGGAATTGTTAAGTCTTGATGAACAGTCGAATATCCAATAATGCATACATTCATAAAAAAAAAAGAATTTTGACTTAGGCCTTAATTTGGCGTTCCTCTTGAAACACCATGTATTTATACTTGCACATGTCAGTTATACGCCGGTAAACCAGTGACAATACGTACAACTTGAAGCTGGACGTATTGTCACTGGTTTACCGTCGTTTACTAGTAGACAATCTATATACAATGAAACTGGATGGGATTCTCTGGCCCATCGGAGATCCCGTCGAAAACTTCAATTATTTTTTTAAATCCACAATAATATAGCTCCTAACTATCTCAACCCTCTACTCCCTTCCCTTGTCGATAACTCTCACTATAATCTTCGAAACGTTGAAAATTACAACCTACCTAACAACAGACTTGAATTACTGTTAGACTGTGGAACCAGTTACCTACTAAAATATTTACATTTGCACTGCATAGTGCCTAGATAACTCTACTGGTCCCATTGTAACATATTTCCCAATGAACTACAACGGGGATTAGGTCAGTGTAAGGTCAGTGTAGTGATACACTGAAAGGTCAGTGTANAAATCCACAATAATATAGCCCCTAACTATCTCAACACTCTACTCCCTTCCCTTGTCGATAACTCTCACTATAATCTTCGAAACGTTGAAAACTACAACCTACCTAACAACAGACTTGAATTATCTAACGTATCCTTTTTTCCTTCTACTGTTAGACTGTGGAACCAGTTACCTACTAGTATACGACGTAGTGCCACGTTCTCATCATTTAGAAACGCCATTCAAGACGTAAACTTGCCGCTTGTACCAAACCCCTTTTTCTATGGTGATAGGAAAAATAATATTTTGCATACAAAATTAAGAAACCGTTCTAGTACTTTGAAAAGTGACCTGTTTCATGTTAACCTTATTGATTACCAACGTTGTATATGTGGCTTCCCTATTGAAGACACACACCATTTCTTTTTTACCTGTGATGAATATGACGAACACGAGGGCAAGCTTTATCGTGAACTGAATGAATACATGCCTCTTAATTTAAATCTACTTTTATTTAGAGATACATCTCTTTTGGAACAGGAAAACATAACGATATTCATGCATACTCAGCAATACATTCGTGACTCTAACAGATTCTAGTAACACCCCCCACCCCTGTCCTCTCCCTCTCTCTCTCTCTCTCTCTCTCTCTCTCTCTCTCTCTCTCAATTGAACCATAATATCCACTCTCTCTTAGAGGCAGATACTATATGTCATACATTAATAATGATGAGGATGTAAGTATTATAATTACAGACTATTATCCCCCCCCTCTCCCTTCCCCCTCCCCCCTTTTCTCTCTCTGTCTCTCTCTTATAATTTCAATTTATAAATTAAAGCATTTAAAAATGAAATAGTGTATATATGTATATTAATTCTGCCATCTTGTTGTAATATTGTAAATATATGCTTGTAATTTGCTAGGAAAGGGCTTACTATAAGTTTGATTACTTGTGCCCAATCCATTTGCTTGGCAATAAAATATGTTTAAACTATACGCCGAAATATCTTCCAATCCATAATTATACTTATCGCATTTCCACTGTTTTTATTCAATCGTTCTGATGCCAATAGTGAGCATATTACAAAAACATATATACACACAATTACTGTAAGAGAATTTACTGCATATTTTTCTCTGAAGTAATTTGGTAAGAGCAGGAGATGGCACAGCAAAACGCGCCTTTAAAAAATAAATCACGTTCTTAAAAATCAGGCTGAAATATTCAGAAAGAAAATGTCTGTATTTGAACTTGAACGTGTTAAAATGACTTAAGAAGAACTTTTTAAAAGTAACATAAATGCATGAAATACGTACACTACATCTAAGTTATCAACTATGTGTACATGTCTACAATGAAGTTACAAATGGAAAAACGCTCACTGAACTGTAGGAATAAGAATAAACTAAATCAAAATATTCTAAATAATGTGGTATAGCTGCAGAAAATTCGAGTTGGCTTCAGTGAATGTATTTTAACACTATATGATGACGCGTGTTAACAGTGACGTCAAAGTCGCGTCATAACATGTTGTGAACGTCGATTCGGCAAATACGTATGCGTCTGGTATGCATAAACGGACCTATCAGTATCAACTGATGCTATTTTGAAGCTAAGGACAAATAACCAAGCGCATGCACCAGATGGAAACAGTTTTCAGTTCGAGAAAAATGAAAATATCAAAATAATATGTAGGTCATCGAAGGATTTCATCACTAACATTGACTTGTAAAAAAATGTAGGATTGTTTCTGAACATAAAACTCTGCCGGAGTTTCGACAAAAATACAGGGTATTCATTGAAAATATCAAATTAGTTGTTTGTGCAAAAAAGGAGCATCAATGCAAGCACGGAGCAACGCATGTTGCCTTTTTTTTGCGAGCCTGTACGACCGGTAGGACGAAAGTTTTTGAACCCTTCATATGGCATAGAATCAATTCACTCTCATTTCCCCGTACTTTCAGTACATGTGTTGCTATAACGGCTCGCACTGCTCGGCCGATCGCTTCGCGATCGTCCGAGAGTGTCCACTAATAACAGCTAAGGTCATAGAAAGACACTAGTAGTTGTTACAGTCCGTACGCGGTGTGTAAGTAAATTGTTGCTATATACTATAAAAACGATTCTATTTTTAGTTTTTCCGAACAGGATAATGGGTTGTTTGTCTGGTAGAGCCATCTCGTTCAGGCTCCAGAAGTAGCGATGAATGGATCGTAACCCTAGTATGGGGCGCCCTGGGCTCGGCTGTGATGCTGTGGAAACATCGACTCCATTCTCTTTCCAAACTTTTCTGAGGGAGCGATTATAGATACAAAAAAAGGTTAAAGTTAAAGTACGACATTGTGGCGGTAGATTAGAGTTGATACGGTACAGTAGATTGACGCTTGTTATGTGTACATCACAAGCTATTTATTACATTACTTCAGCTTACAAGAGCAAATGATTAAGGTGGCTCTTTCCGCGATTATCTAATGTTTTATTATTCAATATCCCTATGTATTTATTATATGTGGGTGTCTTGCAGTGAGTTCGAAGCGCAGTGTTGTTGTGTTGTTCCAGTCTACCTAGATGTACAATTGGGTACCGATATGGCCAGAAGTTATTTTAAGTAAGGCTGATGTCCTTCCATGATCGTCAAGCAGTTGGTGTCATTGACACTTGTTCTCTTCTCGCCAAGAACATGTTAGATTAAGCAGCATCTTGCTTTGAACTATTAATAGATTTCAAATTCTTACCAGAAAGAAAAATACACTTCTGTTTGTTTGATTGAATATTTTGGCATCTTTTAAATGACTGTAGTAACCGAACTGTAATTGTGCAATGTTTGGTACATGCTTCCTTAAAATGACTGTCTTTGTGCAATGTTTGGTACATATGCATCCTTAAAGTTATTGTTAAAACCGTAAATTGTATTTGTGCAATGTTCGGGACACGCATCCTTAAAATGACTGTCTCTGTGCAATGTTTGGTGCATGCATCCTTAAAATGATTGTTAAACCCGCAAACCGTAATCGTGCAATGTTTGAGACAGGCATCCTTAAAAATGACTAAGTGTGCAATGTTCGGGGCATGCATTCTTAAAATGACCGTAAAAGTGTAATTGGATGTAACCATTAGATGAGATTCTGTTCACGATAAAAGAATCAACTTTCAACTACTTGTTAGTGACATAAATAACCCTAATACACGGTAACTGCACAACCAGCATGCTGATACCAATCAAATACAGCACGTGTTTGACCCGTGACTAGTGCGCATGCTCCTTACCGACATCTATTACATGTACACTGTTACGATAGAAACCTTTTACTTACACATTAACGCCATCTGTTTTTATCTTGTTTCCCCATGAAAGTCAGTACTTATGGTCTCTTGAAAACCATAAACTAGTAACCTACCGATTATTCTACAGTAAATTACCGTTACACACCTCTGGAAATGTGCCTGTTAGCCTCCACAATGTCTCCTCTCGTTCTCAAGTGCTTATTACTCTGAAATTCCGAATTCGTGAAATTTTCAATCTAGCATCTCAGTCTAAAACATTTCTCTCAAGCATTTGCAAACCGTAGTATATGAATCAGATTTCGCTTTACAGCACTTCTATTTAAGAATTTACCAAGCATTTTATAAATTACATACTGTGACGGTAAGAATTTGGTTTACCTAGTAACTGTTGAGTGCTAGTTGTTTCCATGGGTTCGTATCCTTACAATCATCTACAGTTTACAGGTTGTTCGGAAGAAATTTTGGCAGACATGAATTTGTACAACTGACGCACATTATCTCCAGGTTTGAAACTTAAATTGCTTTATGTATGTTTTGGTGTGTGGTATCATTTCGTTAAGGACCTGTAAGTGTGCTATTATTGGTGTTCTGTTCAGGCTAGAAGTCCTATCACGGACAACGCCAAGGTATTACAAGGTAATCGATTGTCTGCCTGTAAATATCCTACTCTGATGGGGGTAGAATCAGGTTAGGATAAAGTTTTTATGCAGGATACAATGCGGAAATGATCTTTCAATCAATATTTAGGGGTAGGCATTGCAAATAATTTTCATATTGAAATATATTGCAATATATAAGTATTTAATGGAATCTGGAATAAATTGTATTCCTGGGAAATCGGTAAATTTAAAATCATGTTATATAGCAAATAGAAAAAAAGGAAAAAGGAACATCATTTTGATGTTATCATTTATAAACAAATTATAAATGATAAATGAAATTTACAGTTATATAATTTTGGAAGTAATTTTGATGATATTAATTTAAGTTAAATATCATAATGTCAGAATTAACTGCTTAACATTCCCTTCCAAAAATAATATTATTGAAATATATTGCCGTTTTAAAATCATATTGGTGGACAAATATTGCAATATATCGGTATTGCATAATAGATCTATAGACACATACACCTGTATGTTTGTTCTTCTAGTTCCATCGTTATGTGGATATAGTACCACATCCATCGTTACCGCTAGCTTGGTAAACAAGAGGATTCAGGGTCTTGTTTAACGTTTTCCTTACCTTTGTGTGTAACACAGACATCTGTTGACGGCAACAGTATCCGCATGTGCACACATGTAACGCACCTGCAGGTAAGTAATGCGTATACCATGTAATAAAGGCTTTTTACGACTTAGGCAGAGAAAATGAGATTAAGCTCTGTTCTGAAGAGAAATATCATTTGATTAAGTTAGATATTGTTTTGATGCTTACGGCGTCAAGCTGGATACATATCTTATAGACTGTGGTTACAAATTTCCCGGCAGTGATGTGGCAATAAGTTGGCTTCGTCACAAGTAGGCACTGCCGCCATTTAACAGATACAGTTACGAACGTGTTTACCCCAAACAAACCACGCCGTATCTGGGAGGACTGATTAGTGTATTTATAAACTACATGTCTCGCTGTGGATCAGCTAAATGGATATAATAAAGAAAGAGATGGGATTAGCTAAGAGTATTTGAACGTTTAAACATTTCCGCCTTAAAAACCCGCGTCTGATAAAAGTTATCCCCCTCGCCAATAAAAATACTTTCTTAAAATTACAAAATTCAAGACTCCAACCTAAAAGACTAGATTATGCTGTCGTTTTGCCAGATTTTCCGAATGAGGCTTTACTAATTCTCATCTTATCGTTTCAACACGATTCTGTTTTCAAGTTCAATATGACGCATCCTTATACGCTTGTCTTTTTTATTTCCCAGAATTCTCCGTAATCATGGCGGTAGACGCTTGTGGGAAGTTTTTGAAGTATTCCATGTTCACATTTAACATCGTCATTGTGGTAAGTATTTAACTTATCCGCTCTTCACACACCACTGTATATGATTGAAATTGAATTATGACGATGTATATACCGTTGATCATCCTCGAAACTCCAGGGTTACGCTCTCACTTTCGCTCTTTGCACAGCGAAAGTGAGCAAAACCCTTGGAGTATGGAGGATTGATGTAAAATATAATTGAATTATTTTTCTTATGAAACCAGGAAATCAGTTTATTATAAACCAGTTTAAATCACACAATGACAAACAGTGTCTGTCGGAGTAGCCAGGTTGTCGGATAACGTATATGTACAACTTTCGCACAGTAGTACTTCTATCAACTAGATACTTTTACCCAAAAAATCATGAGATTTTTCTTATGTTAAATCTCTGATAATAGCTTTGTAGAAAATGTGGTTCATTTTTCAGTTGATTTACATACAGTATAGATATAAACCACCGATAGAAACATGTACGTCTGCTGTGTATGAGCTGCCGTGGCTGTTAATGTTTTGTGTTAAGTAAGTAACAACCATTCATATCGGACGTATATGTGGAAATTCCATCTTCATTTTGCATTAAATTTAAACCAATAAGAAACATCGAAAACGAACAGTTCGAATTTTTCCAAAATTCATCGCTTATATATAAGCCAATCATAGACATGGTAATTGTTTCGTTCCGATTAATGTGATTATAATAAAGGTAAAGGTATCCGGACTCAAGAATCCGGAAATTCTGGATGGACAGACTGGTTTCATCGTGTTGGATGATAGAAATCGAGTGATATCACCAAATAGAATTGTAAAGAAGACGCCGCAGTTGAAACGCTAATATTACAATATGTCTTAAAATAATTCAAAACACCCAAAATATCAGCTGATCAGAGTTTATCTTACAGATTGCTGGATGTTGCTTGGTGGGGTTCGGTATATACACAAAGACAAACCATGTGGGGATAACTCGCGTATCGTCTGTCCTCGGCGGAAACCTTGTCGTCACACTTTCGCTCCTCCTCATCATCGCCGGAGCTATCGTCATCCTCCTCTCCTTCCTCGGCTGTTGTGGTGCAATCAAGGAGGTCCGATGCATGCTAGTTACTGTGAGTATGACGTCACTAGACATCAGTGACAGCCTCGCTATCATTTCAGAATCAAACACAAGTGGCGATTCTCCTATTTGTGTAACCTGTTACGTCAGTTAAAGGTATGCCTCTGTCTGACCTTTGTCTAGACGCGATCTTCATGTTATTATATCGCCTGGTTCTATTTATCAGGGCTATGACGTCATATCACTTGAGGAAATTCTAATTTTTGACGTCAACAATCTAGTCACAGTGACGAGGCTGTTTTAGATATCCTTATTTCAAGGTGTCAGTTATAGTAACCTTTTTGTCTAAGTAATTAACACTATGTTAACTTATACAGGTCTTAACACTTTATACTTTATACAGTATAGTTATGTTTTATAACGCTTTGTTGCAGTTTTTCGTGCTGCTGTTTTTGATGTTCGTTGGGTTCGTGGTGAGCGCAGTACTGGTTTATGCATTCCGTGAGAAGGTACGTGCAGCAAGGTTGTATGGGAGGGACATCAAAAAGTCTATAGGGAACGCTAAAATGCCAGGTAACCAGTGTTGAACTTCAGTTACGTTACCTTTCTGTACGCTAGCTTTGTCTGTAGATAAACGCTAGAACGCTAACTAATCTGTATGGATGCTTTTTATCTTGCATTCAACGCTAAGAACGCCACCTTGCCAGCATGGAACGTTAGAAATAGCTAAATTGCCTTTGTGGAAAGCAAAAAAAGTAACTTCCCTCAATGGAACACTAAAACGCTAATTTGTCTGTATGAACAGCTAGTATGCCAACTTTACAAGGATGTTTGCAGAATGAACCTTAGCTGGAATATTAGTTTGCTTGTAAGGAACTCTAGATCGCTGTCTTGCCTGTTTAAAACGCTAGTTTGCGTGTATGAAACGCCAGATCGTTAGCTTATCTGTTGGGATTGTCAATGGCTAGCTTATCTGTACGGAACGCAAGATCGCTAGCTTATCTGTTGGGATTCTCAATGGCTAGCTTATCTGTTGGGATTCTCAATGGCTAGCTTATCTGTACGGAACGCAAGATCGCTAGCTTATCTGTTGGGATTCTCAATGGCTAGCTTATCTGTCACTTCTGAACCTCTGAATATCATAAAACTTGCATAGATCACAGGTACTAGCCTTGTCTGTCAATACACCTAATATGAAAACAGGCACTGCCTGAAACGAGCGAAGCGTCTAAATGCTGTTTTTTTTCAATCCTTTTTTTCTAAATAATATTATTTAAAATATTATCTATTTATTCGTTTTATAGCGATAAAGCAATCAATGTAAAATAAATATATGTGGACAGCACAGTGTCCGACTAACTGAAATTCGACCATTTTTCTATGTTTCACGGAGTCTACCGAATAGTATACTGCATGATATATGGCAAATCATACATCAGATCTACACTGTTCACGGCGTCATACTACGAACGGTTATGACAAAATCACATGTTTATTGGAACTGGGTCATTTTACTAGGGGGACAGAGTTAGCAACCTGGGTTATATTATAGGTGTATTGACAGACGAGGCTAGTACCTATGCATAGATATTTTAACTGGTGTTTGGGTCAAAACTCTGTAATTTTTGTCGGGACAGTCTTGCACCGCTCAGTGTTTGCGAAAGTCCACATAGTGTGTCGCGTACAAGACACAGTGGCCGATCAAGGTCACAGTCAAGAGTCAAATAACAAACCGTGCTCGCACGGGAAAGTTCAAGCCCGCAGGAAACATCATAGAAGATCATGTCACGCTTAACGTCAAAACCCGGTGGGTGTATGTCTTGGGGAGCACCCATTAACTTGTTTGAAACCATTTAAACTTGGGGTTTTTTTGTACTCATACTCAGAACATACTTGTCATGGTGTCAATAGAAAATGCTTTAGATTAATTAATGTATTAGAGTTTTCTCCTAAAACTGTACTACTGTTACCACACATTGGTATCAAACATCTGTGCTCACGCGCTGGATGTAACACGAGCTACTGTTTATTCCAGATAGAGAAGTATACACTCGAACAACTGCGGGGCTCACTGTACAAAAACTACGGGTTCGAACCCCAAGTCACAGAGGCCTGGGACTCCATGCAACAAATCGTAAGTAGTATGGCGTAGGTCAACTTGTCAAGGTGACAGACTTCTGCGAAATGTATTAAAGCGGCATAGAATATAGCTAATCACCATTCAAGGCGTAATGAAGTGTTGAGTCATGAAGTGGCATGGTGTAGTAAATCGTAATCCAAGGTCACAGGAAGTCGTACGTCATAAAATGGCATGGTTGGTTTATCGTAATCCAAGATCACAGGAAGTCGTACGTCATGAAGTGGCATGGTGTATTTAATCGTAGTTCAAGGTCACAAGAAGTCGTACGTCATGAAGTGGCATGGTGTAGTAAATCGTAGTTCAAGGTCAAAGGAAGTCGTACGTCATGAAGTGGCATGGTGTATTTAATCGTAGTTCAAGGTCACATGAAGTCGTACGTCATGAAGTGGCATGGTGTACTTAATCGTAGTTCAAGGTCACAGGAAGTCGTACGTCATGAAGTGGCACGGTGTATTTAATCGTAGTTCAAGGTCACAGGAAGTCACACGTCAGAAAATGGCAGGGGGAATTAATCGTAGTGTAAGGTCACAGGAAGGCATACGAGTTGTAAAGCGACATGGAATGGTTATTTATACAGTGAAGCTCAAGGTCAAATGAAGTCTTGCGCATTCGTGATTGTCTGATGGAAAACAATATTCTTGGGAATAAGTATTTCGGTGAATTGCTTTTATAACGTATGATACTTAAAGGAAAACAAGTAACTTGATATATTTGTATAATGCTTCAATGATATTTTTAGCATATTTGCGTATTAATTAAATTTTGTATCTAATTCGTGTACAGTTTAAATGTTGCGGAGTAGAAGGGGACGTCAACTCGACCAGCTCGTGGGCTTTCTACAAGACACACTCGGCGTGGTATTTTAACCAAACAGGTAAGTAGTACACTCACTCTTGTAGCTATGGCTGACGTAGAGCGTTCTACAAGAAACAGGCAAGTAGTATACACCTCTAGCTATAAAACATGGCTATAAGTGGGACTAGCATTAGTCCGAATTATTCTTACGTTTTATCGACTTTTTTACACGGTCTGGCGTCGATTAACGTCAGAATCTTCACTTTCACACACATGTCGGACATGGATCGAAAGAACATATTTTTTTCAAACTTACTCCGTTTAACTTGACATTTTTGATAGCCCCGCCTTCTAATGCCATGTGACTAAAATATCGTCATAACTTATACCTTCGGTAACGCGAGATCACCTTTAAGTCATTTGACATGGCTCATGCCCTAATTTCCATTGACTACATGGGTTGGTATAGAAAACGTTGGAAAATACTGTCCGTAATGATCTTTGAAACATGTTATTGATACCAACTAGTGCATAAATAATAGATCTTTCGATCCATGTGCGACATGTGTGTGAAAGTGACGATTTGTTCCTAAAATATCAGTATAAAGGGAGACCCTGGCGCGGGGCGCTTATTTCCCACATGTTATAGAGGGCCGGAGTTCTGACGTTAATCGACGACAGACCGATATAAAAAAAAAAGTCGATCAAACGTCAGAATAATTCGGTCTAGACTTGCATGTGCAGCAGTAGTGGGCGAGAAAGGAGTTAATTGTCACATGTATATACAACTTCTACTTTCCTATGTGTTGTCAAACACAATGAACAAATAATTTGAATCTGAGGGATTAATGTAGGAATGGTATACATATATGATGAGTCATTGTTTAGAGAAGGACAGTTTGGCACATTTTTTGTACATTCTTTGATGATGTAGGTATCGAGAATATACTGCAATTCAAGGGATGGAAACGAATTTGGTAGCCGTTAGCATGGCCTGACAAAGACACCATTTGTGTCATCGGTGTTGATTTAGGATCCTGTTTTATTGATATCCTAAGTCGGTAATAATTATTGTTATTACAAACGAAGATATATTAAATACATAGTGACAACTGTTAAGGTTACGTTACTACGACAATGATCAATACAACCTAATCTGCCTAACTATGTATTAGTGCAAATTTAGTCTTGATCAAATGTTAATATGCAGTGCAGTAGATATGTAAGATTGATTGACAGGTTCCATCCAGTTTGTGCCAGACAGTTGTTGTGCTGATCCCACGAGTACCCCAAACAGGACGGTGTGTACCGGCCAAGCTTTCTCCAATATCGCCCCGGTATTCGGACCTCCCGTCCCCCCGGGAAAGGCCAACAACCAAATGTATGACAAGGTAAAAAAACACAAGTATTACTTATGCATAACACATAGCATAACACCCCTCCCTCCACACCTATCTCTCCATATGTACTACAGCATGGGGAATATACACACCCTTCAAATATAAGATTTGAATCTTGAATTGATTGGTCTTGAAACAAATTTAATGAACTTCTGTTTTGCAATTCATTAAATCATTAAACTTGTTTCAAGACCAACTCAATTCATCACCCCATGCAATTGACCAAACCAATATTCAATCATTAAATGAAAAAAGAACATGCTTTGGGCATAACATCTTGTTGACATATATTGCTGGAATCATTAAGCATGTTTGTTCCTATGTCTCAAATTGGTTGGTTGAACTTGATTGATACAAAACAATTCAATTTTTATCATATATCTTGAAGGAAGTTCTAGGTGTCTGAATACTTTATTTACAATGGCTGATCCTAAGATAAGTGTAAAGTTTGGTAAATAGAAAAGTCGTGTGGTTGTTAACGTCTTAGAAACTTGTCAGATCTTTGGTCAAGTTTTGAGATAACTTCTTATTTCGGGAACAATGTAAATGAGTGAATGTCAATGTACGCTGTAAACAATTCGTTATGTTAAATATCAATTTATGCTGTAAACGATTAATTATGTTTTATGTCAATGTACGCTGTCGACAATTATTAAGTTAAATGTCAATCTACGCTGTCAACAATTAATCATGTTTAATGTCAATGTACGATGTAAACAATTAATTATGTTTAATGTCAATGTACGATGTAAACAATTAATTATGTTTAATGTCAATGTACGCTGTAAACAATTAATCATGTTTAATGTCAATGTACGCTGTAAACAATTAATTATGTTTTATGTCAATGTACGCTGTAAACCATTAATCATGTTTAATGTCAATGTACGCTGTAAACCATTAATCATGTTTAATGTCAATGTACGCTGTAAACAATTAATCAGGTTTAATGTCAATGTACCCTGTAAACAATTAATTATGTTAATGTCAATGTACCCTGTAAACAATTAATTATGTTAATGTCAATGTACCCTGTAAACACTTAATCATGTTTCGTTTCAGGGATGTTACACAAAGCTGGAGAGTTTTTTAATGGGAAACATAAAAATCCTACTCGGTGTGCTTTCAGTGATAGCCTTCATAATGGTAGGTGCAATTTTGTGAGACATGAAATTACATTTCTCTGATATATTACACATGTATGTATATAATGTGCAAAATAATTTGTAATTATTATGAATAACATTGGAGAAGTAACGGTAATTAAGTACATTGACATGGACTATTTAACTTTTTTTTTTTTTAGAAATATTTTGTTTAGTTATTCAGTCAGAGATTGTTTCATTATCCTATAGAAAGGCGTGCTAATCACACTTAGTAGAGTTTGATGTGTAAATAAGTGTAACGTATCCTATATTTGTTCTGTCATCTAGCTTTTGAGCGACTTTGGAACGACTAGAAAATATTTTTTCATGATTTTCAGATTCTAGGAATGGTGTTCTCGGTGTGTCTATGTAGACGAATACAGGACGATCTCTACTGTGACTGACGACTTGATGTCACAGAGCAGACAGAAGGTCAATGTGAACGTAAAACCACGAGGGGTATCGAACAATTTTGAAAGGGTCGTCTTATGACAACCCAGTACGTACTTTAACTAAACTTTAGAGGACTACCAAAAAAGACAATAGCCCTAAAATGAAAGAGAGGGACAGAATGATGCGGACATCATGTCCCTTGTGATTTACTTGCAGATGTATGTAAACACTAGAGGGACATCGAACATGTACGATATGTATCCCTTGTGGCTAGCAGGGAACGTTAGACAAAGAAGAGTGCACGTGCCTTATAATTCAATTACAAGCGTATGAAAACATCAGGGGAGTATCGAACAGCCCCGTTGAATGTCCCTGGTGATCTCTACATTATATTAACAAATAATAGGACAATAATCCGAAATTAGATAGACCCGTGTAAGGAACTGCCCAATATAAGCAAAAGAGCACATCTTGTTCATCGGCGTGTTCATCGGATCTGGATTGACATTCCTCCACGGAGGCATTTGTATTCATTCAGGTTGAAATTAAATTTTGGTGACATTTTGACATTTTTATCTTAAAAATCGCCTTTAAGAATTTCCTACAGACCTATGTCACAAAACTCAGATTTTAGAAATAGCCGTTTTTAAGGTCGAATGAGTGTATTGATAAACGGAAACAGGAAGTACATCCCTAGTTGAAAATCCAATGTAAGGAGACAGAATCACAATTTCCGCATATTCTAATGAGTCTAGAGTTTTGATGAATATTGTATGTTTATAATTGACAGAACAGTGTGTTCTCTCAATTTTAAAGTATTTCAAAGCAATCCAGGTATTAATTCAGTTGTTTTTTATCAATGAGTCACATGTGACCATTTTACTGTACTTCAGGAAACCGGCTACCTATTTCACTACTGTGAAGTTTTTCAAGAAAGATAACTCTTACATGCAATTACTATGTGTATATGGTTTTATTATGAAATGTTAATTTTTAACCGTTTATAGATAATTTATTTTACACAATTTCAGCATTTATTAAATTGATATACATTAATGCAATACTAATCTATGGCATTATCATTTGTATTGACATTATTTTGCAAAAAATTGTGTCTCATTTTTTTTTCAAAATTCACTCCTATTTACATAAATTTCCATTTAAAATCCTTAAAATTCTGACAACCTATATTTTTTTTGGTGGCAGACATTTTCTTTACGTCAAAGCAATACAACTACAAAATTTGAAGAAATTCTACTGAGAAATGGTGACACAAACCTATTTCCTTAATATTTATTTATTTATTTAAATTGATGACGAGATAAAGATTTACCAAACCAGAGACGTATAAGTACATGTACCTTAGGTTCTGTGAAACTAAATAATAATAAAAATAATTCGAGGTTCTTATATACCGCTTTACAAAAACCTAGTTCGTAGGTCGTCTCAAAGCGGTTCACAAATTATTATCCGTGAGTGTAGGGCCTTTGCAACCAGCCAATACCTTTCGCAACTCCATGGGGAGCATACAGCCGGAGCTGCCATTTCGGTGCTAACAGCGAGCATTCAACAATTCTAGCACTGTCCAACCACGTACTCATTTACAGTTGAGTAGACTGGAACAAGCGGAGTAAAGTATCTTGTTCTAAGATACAACACACTTACAGTGCCGTGCCGTGACTCGAACCCGCAACCCGCCGGTCACGAGCCCAGCGTCCTACCACTGGACTACCGTGCCTCCATTACCACTAAAGGTAGATCACTCTTAAAAATCTTATAGTTTGTGAACTAAGGGAGACAACCTCGTAAAGCTACGTAAAGTCCCCGAGAATTCTTGCTCGGTAAGTGCCTTTCGAATATTTTTATCCGGGGACAAAATTATTCTGAGCATTTTCATTACGGAAACAAAATGTCTGGAATATGTATTTCTTTCTGAATTATTTAAATGACAATATAATAATTGCTTTAGGAAAGGTTTAGTTGTGGTTGAGAATCACAGGTGTTTGTGAATCAGAAACGATTTTTTTTTCTCTTGTACGCAGGTATTCTAAAAAGAAAAAGAAACAATAAGGTGTTAGGTTTATATGGAATACTAAATAAATGTACTTGTTTCTTGACGAATACCAATTTTATTTCAAATTTCAGAGAACGATTTAATATAAATGTGTATATGATAGGTACAATGTGACAAGATTTTATTTGTATCTGGTTCACAACCGCCTGTTTTGGGACAATCAGTAAAAAGATTTGTAAACTCTCGTGAGACCTTGTGGCTAGTGAATAGTTAGTGTATTTCGTAGTTATATTGAGGAGTCGCTGTGGCGGCATTTTTGTATATTAAGATGTAAATTGTCTTCACTGGATACTCGTTGTCGCTCGTTTTCGTTTGAATAGATTTTATTGCAAATCTTTAGATTAACACGGATCTAACCTAAGGTTTTAGTGTGTCTCTCTGGAAAGTATTTGTCCTTCATAAGGGTGTGATTTTAAAATGTAGAAAAGCTGACTTTGTAAATTTTAGATTTTTTTCATTGATTTATAATATTAACCATGAAATTTATGAATGCTATTGTGATATTGACTTTGTGTATTATTGTGATGAACGTTATTGTGTATCTGTATTACGTGCACTGCACGTGAGTGCAATATCTTGTGGCGGAACCAGCTGTGTGATGTCATTAAAATGTGTGTATCGTCATTAAAGTCTGTGTTTTACTTATCATTTAACTGTTTACATATTTGTATATTGACATTGAATATTTATTTTAATTACTAATTAGTGATTAAAATTTTATAATTACCTATTACGATAATAACAAACACTGGGAGAACGTTTCGGCTGTTATTTAATAAATAAATCGAACAAAGTTTAGTATTGGATGAGCATGAGGTCATACACGCCCAGTAACATTTACAACAACATACATATCAGTTATAACACAATTTCAATTCAATTCATTACCAAATGCACATTGCATATAGGCGTACAGAAATATACATATAGATAAATGCTTTACAAATATCTTGTACAATGGCGGAGAACATATGCAATAGATTCAATTCCATACATAATAATTACAAATTCATGAAATAGTCGTTAGTTTGGGAAAACTTTAAGGTTTTCCTAAGGTAACTTAGCGGACTCTTATGAAGCATAATTTAGTTGTTTATGAAATAATACGAATAAAGCCTTAATCTAACCAAATTTCTAGGAAATAACAAAACTTTAAAGTCAATCATAAAACCTCAACATGAAGGTAGAACGAGTACTATATATTATATAATGAAATGAGATTATAACTCATTGTGAAGTAAAAGACATAGATCTCAATCGCATTATACAGTAACAAAACGTGTATAGCAAGACTTTGATACAGCTTATGTTTCATAATATATGACTTCTCTTAACAGTTGCTTGAATCAAGTACTTGCTTAAATTTCTAATAAGTTAAAAAAAAATGCTAGCCAGTAGTTCTATTAATTTAAACACAGAAGGACGAATACGATAATATGGCTTGATATACGATTCTCTTAATTCTAAAAACACAGGACACATCAGAATGAAATGAAACACAAATGTCTCCTCATACGTAAATATGCTGGTTTACATTAGAAATTAATTGAAAAATATGAATTTCCTCATTCTCCTCCTTGCAAATAAATCAATTACCACAACAAGTATTCTATGCTATTTATATATATATACATATTGCAAATATGTGAAATGTAATTAGCAAAAGTTTTTACTTAACCTTATTATATTTATATCACTTTGATGTAATTGTCTGTTATTTTGTACAGAAGTTTTGGCGAAATCATTTTCTGGTGGTAATAATTGAAAACATCGAAATTCGTATAAATATATAGTACATAAAATGCATGCATCTAAATCAACAAACAGCTACTTCTCCTCTCGATTGGATTAATCAACTCCCTTCCAAATTATTCTAATTTACTAGAGCTAGCGATAAGTGAACCCATTTCCCCGAAGCTATTTATTGATCTCTCAAATAAAACTTTAGACACACACTGTACGCGTCTAAACACCAGCTTCCCTAAAAGTGTATCAGTTCATGGTCCCCAAATCAATGTCTTGAATTAATTAAGGTAAGTATTTCAAATAGTGTATCAAACAAGCAGATAATGGAAACGTGTTATATATATGATGCAGCTGATAAGTTGAAATAAAAGTACAAACGTAAAGATGCCCAGGCTTAAAGGCAATTGGGAACAGTCGGCACTTTCCGTAAACGAGAAAATACTTTTTACGGAAAGTGCCGACGGTTCCCGATTGGCTTAAAGGGTGTCCTGGTAAAAACAATCACTGGAAAACTACCAGTTAATTGGCTACCTACATTACATAGTCATGGTGTTTGTTTGTCTGTACAATACTCAATACTATCGATCTGTCTGACCAAGACGACCACCAGGACATATCTCCGTGACCTCCACTATAACATTGGTTTTCGTCAGTTTGACTTCCTTATCTCTGTTTCACAATCATTTAAACGACTTTCATGATGTATAATCAAACTGAAAGTACAAATTGAAAAGTGAAATAAATATGTATTTACACACAAATGTATAGGGCTTTCACACAAGGAAGAGACCCCAAACAAAAAGAAAATCATTACTTCCGGTATCGACAGATGAAGACTGGTGCACAAGACTGGCTAAACGTAGATTGGTGAACTACGGGTAAACAACCATTGCTAAACGTAGATTGGTGAACTACGGGTAAACAGCCATGGCTAAACGTAGATTGGTGAACTACGGTTAAACAACCATTGCTAAACGTAGATTGGTGAACTACGGGTAAACAGCCATTGCTAAACGTAGATTGGTGAACTCCGGGTAAACAACCATTGCTAAACGTAGATTGGTGAACTACGGGTAAACAGCCATTGCTAAACGTAGATTGGTGAACTACGGGTAAACAACCATTGCTAAACGTAGATTGGTGAACTACGGGTAAACAGCCATTGCTAAACGTAGATTGGTGAACTACGGGTAAACAACCATTGCTAAACGTAGATTGGTGAACTACGGGTAAACAGCCATTGCTAAACGTAGATTGGTGAACTACGGGTAAACAACCATTGCTAAACGTAGATTGGTGAACTACGGGTAAACAGCCATGGCTAAACGTAGATTGGTGAACTACGGTTAAACAACCATTGCTAAACGTAGATTGGTGAACTACGGGTAAACAGCCATTGCTAAACGTAGATTGGTGAACTCCGGGTAAACAACCATTGCTAAACGTAGATTGGTGAACTACGGGTAAACAGCCATTGCTAAACGTAGATTGGTGAACTACTGGTTAACAACCATGGCTTAACGTAGATTGGTGAACTACGGGTAAACAGCCATTGCTAAACGTAGATTGGTGAACTACTGGTTAACAACCATTGCTAAACGTAGATTGGTGAACTACGGGTGAACAACCATGGCTAAACGTAGATTGGTGAACTACGGGTAAACAACCATGGCTTAACGTAGATTGGTGAACTACGGGTAAACAACCATGACTTAACGAAGATTGGTGAACTACGGGTAAACAACCATGGCTAAACGTAGATTGGTGAACTACGGGTAAACAGCCATTGCTAAACGTAGATTGGTGAACTCCGGGTAAACAAACATGGCTTAACGTAGATTGGTGAACTACTGGTTAACAACCATGGCTTAACGTAGATTGGTGAACTACGGGTAAACAAACATGGCTTAACGTAGATTGGTGAACTACTGGTTAACAACCATGGCTTAACGTAGATTGGTGAACTACGGGTAAACAACCATGGTTCAGCGTAGATTGGTGAACTACGGGTAAACAACCATGGCTAAGCGTAAGCGTGGATTGGTGGTATTCGGAAAGATAACCCTGACTAGGCGTAGATTTATGGTCTTTAGTGAAAAACTCTGGCTAAGCGTGTAGTTGATAGATGGCTTCAGATAGAAAACTCTGTCTTAACGTATAATGAAGCTCCTGGCTAGGTACATGTAGCGAATTAGTAAATGTGGCGTATTCAGTAGCAGCCAAGGAGAGTAGCAACGAATCAGTTACGACATGCCAGGACCATAAGCGGAGAGCCTGGATTTTTATTACTGAGGAAAGACACTTTCAAGGTGCGTAAAATCACGTCGTCACGTTTGTCAAAGTTTGGTGACAACGTGACCGTTGTTATTATTATTAATATAAAGTCAAGAAATATCAATAACAGACGTGACTATTGTATGCACTGCTATCACGACTGCTCAGGTTCCATGTTGTAATCAGGTTTACGTCATCAGCTCTCTGACTGATCAAGATAAGGTTCTGTCGGATTTCTCGCTAAGACGTTCGACACGTCCTTCCGGTCAACGTAAGTGTAATACATTTCTGTTTGATTTGTTTTAAAACATGTACGTATGTTGGGGTCCGTTTTACTTTGAATAGCCGATGTCACAACATGAATAGGTGATATAACAACACATATAAAACTTAAGCATGGGTGATATCAAAAACGTATGTAGTGATTGTGTCCTTCATATGCACATTCAGGACGTTTGGCAACAAGCATCAGTTTTAACTAAAGAAAATCCAAGAAAACTATGTGTCCCGAATTAGCTAATCTATTTATACAGATAATAAGACAAACCGAAATACCGGGTTATCTACAAAGAAGAAATGCCTAAATAATAAATGCTGACAACACGAGATCATGATGGTGACCATACAATTTGTCCGTAGTCTAAACGCACATGAATCGTTGGAAACCTTGTGCTGTAAGTTTGTCCATTAGCAGTCGACATCTATTCCGTCTTTGCGTATTGCACAGTTATCTGCTCTTGTGAGCAGGAATTGATTGTTACGTCATTTGTTTGTGAGAGTAACGTCAACAATGTTTGAGAAAACGACGTTATTTTCTCACACAAACCAATGACGTAACAATCAATACCTGCTCACAAGAGAAGAGAAGATAACTCTACAATACGCAAAGACGGAATTACGAAAGTCACTGTAAGATGATGCAGGGATGTTAGTTTCAAGAAGTCAAATAGGTCTAAACTTTGTAATTATATTCTTCATCAACCGGGTTCAAACATAACTATGTTAATTATCAAATCCTTATACTGTTAACGACAAGTTCAATACTAGGTCATGTTGTTGTTGTTGTTATTGTTCTGCCAGATGAAGCTGACGATGACGTGTTTCCGGGTTGTCCTCCTGTTGTCCCTAGCTACCGTGGTGCTTTGTAACTTAAAGATCGCCTCTTTCAACATAAAGTGGTTGAGTGTCAACAAACTTTCCAATAACAGCACGCTGAGCGTCATCAAAAAGGCACGTACATGGCCGCTTGGACCATTGCAGGATATGCCCTCGACACTTCACAGCGGGAACATAAGAATGTTCTAAGCAGGGCATCACAGCATAACTAATACATTAGTTACAACCATTTAGATTCTTGCGCACGGCGTACAATGTTGAGTCGTATTGGACAGAGTAAAATAAAACACACAATCCTACCATCTATGTACAAAGGGAAATAACTCTGGACTTACTGAACTTTCAACCATCCCCAACCCTCGGGTTAAGGCTATCTTACAACATTTACCCTCAGTCAAAAACACTTCCTATGGGAGAACACATATTATAGTTATTCTGTACGAACGACAAACCCTTTTCTATGGAAGACCACATAATATAGTTATTCTGTACGACAAACACTTTATGTTGATATACCAAATGTAAGTTATCTTGCGTTTTAAACACTTGTTTCTAGACCAAATATCGGCCATTTTCCGTCAAGAATACACTCTGTTAATTGGCCAATACAAATCACCTTTCTTCTTAAACACACCCTGTTGATATTCAACACTTGTTAATAGGCCAATACAAATTATCCGTAGACTTAGTAAAAAAAATAACTCTGTTGATAGACCAACTACAAGTCATCTTGCATATCAAATATCTTTCGTCGGATATCAAATGCAAGTTACCCTTTTTCTCAAATACCTGTCGATAGACCAGCTACATGTTCGCTTACGTCTGAAACACTTTCTGATGATGGACTACCTACCAGAGTCATCATGCGTTTCATTCACTTCGTGTTGGTGTCAGATATTAGTCACAAGTCATCATGAGTCAAAATACCAACTGGCCTCACAAACACTTTCAGTGAAACATAATTTTCTTGTTTATTTATAATATGTTCGTTTATTGTGATTTTGAAAACTGTTCAGCTATACATTTTAAATAGATAAGATATAATCATTAACCAAACTAAATCTGATATAGATTTTACAGCGGTACGATATCATCTCCATCATCGAGGTGAGGTCGGACCATGCCATCCACGACCTGGTCCAGGCTCTCAACATGTAAGTCAGCAGCAGTCTTCTGTCAATAAGCCTGGTGTTATCGGTGGTATTTAAGATAGTAAGTTTTTGTAATAATTTGTCATCTTATAGATTCGCCTACCCTATACATGTGTTATCCTATATACAATCCTTATAAAAGTGTTTTTTATTGACGAAGTCAGTTTCTACTTTTCTTAATATGATTCCAGGTCCCCGTCTGATAAGCCTGTCGTAAAGCAACCCCATGCCATTATTTTTCTATGAATGCACTCATGTGTTCGGAACCCCTCTAATACTTGTTTAGCCAATGAAAATATCGAAGGCGACCCGAAAATATCTTCCCTTAACGTAAATCGGAAACCGTCGGCACTATTTTCTCGTTTATTGAAAGTGCCGACGGTTCCCGATTGGCCTTCATGTTTGCTGGCAATGAGAGTCGTCGATCAATTTTCGTGTTATTATAAAGGGTTTCGAGATACCTTTTTCTCTGCGGATTCGACTGGGTTTTAGATACGCTTATTACTTGATAGGGGACATGCCTACTACCGGTAAACACCAATAATCTAACAGCTGTTACAGCAATACCTGTCAATGGGATGTCATTCTAAATGTGAAATTTCAGCAATACCACTTCGACAAAATTGGCCTTTTGTTAGTTAACCTTCATACCGGAAGTGAACATGCCCCCGCCAACCCCTCCATCCCCCACCCCCAAGTCATGAGACGCTTGATCCGGAAACTTGTAACTCGGAAACGACGTTTATTTCCAACGCTTTCCTGTCAATATACACCACTAGTGATATTTTTGCCTTTTTGTTTTCATATGTTAATCTTTATAATCGTTGTTTTCTGTGTCACCTAGGGACAGTCGGGACGACCCGTTCGGCGTGGTAGTGAGTAAGAAGTTAGGCCGTAACGTGCACTACACAGAATCGTACGCCGTTCTCTTCCGGTAAGTATAACTACGTCAGATCAACGTCATACCTTCTGAGTATCGATGTCACATAAAAAAAAAAAAAAAAAAAAAACACAAAAATGTATGTTATTCAAATAAGTCAGGTACCACTAGGACTTTGAATTAATTCGCACAAAAATGGTGTCGGATAGGTTTAAATCATAATTGATTTTTATTTATCGTTCCGAATCTGGTTGGTGCTGGTAGGTATTTCCATCGATCCAGTCATGTTTTGTTTTTGTTTTTTCCTTGTCAGAATGAATAACGTGTTTGTACAGGAGGTACATCAGTTTCCGGATAATTATGACGTGTTTTCCCGCGAACCATACGCTGTTGTATTTCATTCTCTTGATTCACGTGAGTATGACGATCAAGACATACATGGTACTATACAAATGTACATTTATTATACGCATGACAACCTCGGGAAAGCGTATTCATTGCGGGAATAAAACGTCCATATCTCCCTAATACGTCGTTTCCGGGATACTTTAGATTAGATACACTAATGTACGCAAGTCAGCAGATAAGCTTTTCTTGCAGAATATGAAGTTTCAGTTATTTTCGTCCAAAGGTTGAGTGTCTATAAGACCCCTTTTTGGGCCCCGTTTTATTCGGATTTTGTCTTCCTTAATTTCTTCAAATGAACTAAGCTAAAAGTTGAATTTTCTGAGGTACAAAAAGGGTTAGAGTAATTCAAAAATATAAATTTGATGTTTTCAAAATAAACTGAAAACCAAAGTATTTCCATTTCTGTTTTCGAAAACATGCGTAAACTAAACGGGCATATATAAAAGAATGAAAAATGACAGAAATTCAATCGTTACTTAAAGATCGTTTATAAAAAACAGAGGATTGACTCAGGGGGTGCTTTTAGATAATTTTCAAATGAGAAGTGTTTTGTTTTCTTTATAATTTCCTTTCTTATTTATATTTTGAGTTGAAATTTTCATTTTACTTATTTGAGTACATTTATATAAAATACATATTCACTACACACTTTCCTTTTGTTTCTGGACACATCTAAAAGTAGGCAATTTCAAATACCTCTCTATTTAAAGTGAATTAAAAGGTGCGACGCCCTTCATATTCTATAAGTATATGATAGTAATGGTTAACATTGTATATCATGTATATTATATAATATTTGTTAAGCACCTGTGGCTGAAGTGAGTTCCAGGTCCTGATTTGTTTTCTTACTTACAAATAAAAAAATGGCAGTTGCCACGACAACTGCAGCAAAATATTTCGTTTAATATATGTGGATTGATTTGTTGGTAATTTAAAGTCTCCTAGCTTCAAGGAAAGTATCTGTTTTAATCGTTAAAGTTAACCCATTTCATTGTTTTATCAATTGTTGTGACTGTTTCCAATGTTTATGCGCTGATTGTACATAAAAGGCATTTTGTGATAAGCATGCAACTTGACATAGATGTTATGAAATTTAATTTGTGAAAGTTTCATACTTATCCCACTACGTCTTTTTACTTTAAAAAAACACACCTTTTCTTTTGTTTTGAAATACACGAGCTAAAGTGCCTCTCCTTGCTCAACACCAAATATTTACATCTCAACCACTCTCACCTGCTCCTCACCCTCTCGTCCCCACTCTCAAACTCTCTCTCCCACACTCACACCCATTTACTCTCTTTCTCATATTCACTCTCTCCCACACTCACTTTCTCCCACACTCACTCACTCTCTCCTACACCCACTAACTCTCTTTCCTACACTCACTCTCTCTCCCTCTCTCACTTACTCTCTCTCTCTCTCTCTCTCTCTCTCTCTCTCTCTCTCTCTCTCTCTCTCTCTCACACTCACTTACTCTCTTTCCAACACTCACTTTTTCTCCCACACTCACTTACTCTCTTTCCCACACCCACTCACTCTCCTTCCCACACTCACTATCTTTCCCTCACTCACTCTCTCTCTCTTTCCCACACTCACTCTCTCTCCCTCACTCACTCACTCTCTCTCTTTCCCACACTCACTCTCTCTCTCTCCCATACTCATTTTACTATATTTCCCTCACTCATTCACTATCTTTCCCTCACTCACTCTCTCTCTTTCCCACACTAACTCTATTTCCCTCACTCACTCACTATCTTTCCCTCACTCACTCTCTTTCTCTCTTTCACACACCCACTCTTTCTCCCACACCCACTTACTCTCTTTCCCACACCCACTCACACTCTCTCCCCCACCCCACTTACTCTCTCTCCCACACTCCTTCACTCTCTCCCCAACACTCACTCTTTCTCTCTCCCGCATTCACTTACTCTCTTTTCCACACTCACTCTCCCACTCTCTTTCCCACACTCACTCTCTCTCCCACACCCACACTCATTATCTTTCTCCCGCACTGTAATTCCGTTTCCCTCATATACACTTCAAATTAGAAAAACGACCACCTGAAACGACAAAATAAAAACTAAGCTAAAAGGCCAATCGGGGTTTAGGGGAGCTTTGATTACACATCAGCGCACAGGTGGGCACTTCCGTGTTTGAAACAACAACATCAGCAACGCCATTGATTGATTGATTGATTGATAGGTTTTACGTCCACTTCACTACCGGATGTATCGGTTATCCAGCAGACGAAGAACAGAAAGGAAAAAGAGTAGAAGGGATAAAGTGTGGAGTAAAGAGTAGAAGAGGGGGATAGATTAGATAAAGAGCCGTCTATCCTATATATATTAACTGTCTAGTTTTTGTGAGACGACTCTTATGCCTAATAATGCCTTAACCTAACACTCATTGTGAAGCATCACCAATTCTGGACCGGAAGTGAGGTACTGTGCCGCCGTCAGCCCCATCAGCCCCGCCTAGGTTTAAGAATTTGGTTTATGTATAAAATTTGGAAGTCCAGCAACGCCAGGGAAATCGGACAGTTTGTATATTAAATGAAAATCTTTTTTACGCAGGTGTGCAGTATATAACATTAAATATAATGATACAACAATATACTAACTCCCGTTCATTTTAAAGGGAGACATTTGAGCGCGTTCTTAACAATTGCATATAAATTATGTTTTAAAATGGGAAAGAATAAAACATTAAATGTGATATATTTTGGCTAATTCCAAGTTGAGTAAGATGGTAGGTAACTCTTTATTGTTAAATTCTATGTCAAGTACTAATAACAGTTAATCCCTCTCGACTACCGCTACTAATAATAATATTTATTCGGTAAAAGCAAGATACAGGTACAAATATCACATAAGATCACAGATTTCAATTGCATAATAATCACAGATTTATCACAGTATTTAGCTTATCACATCAAAGTTAATATCACAAATTTTGGAGCACTATAATTACAATGTATCTGTTTGACTAAGCTTTAACCTAGGATATCCCATGAAAGCTGGGTGGCAGCTTATTTCCAATGGGGTCCTCTAGTATAGATCTTAATTACTTAGATAACAAAAGGTCCTAAGGATTTGACCTTATAATATGAATATAAGATGGTATAATTTCTCGTAATAATATATATATGAATAGAATAAGTTGTAATTGGTCAAATATGATGATGATATATTATTTCATCAAAATGAGATGTTATTTTATTTGACGGTATAAGATGGAGTTGTCATTAGCAAATATGATTCCCTTCTGATAATATATATATGTGGGGCTTATGCATGATGTTGTTTCCACTTGTAATATTAAAATATCAGTTATATGTATCACTGTACATATCATAAAGCAAGATGATGTCATTCTTGCAGTTATTAAGTAACAATATAAGATATACATTTATACTGTGGTACTTGTGTGTAGAACAGACAACAGGTGGTTGGACAATCCCTACCAACCTATTATCTGTCTAACAAATTATAGCAATTTTGGGTATAATACATATATAAAAATGACTTTTAATAAAATAAAGATTGAGGATGATGGTAATAAAATGTTCCATAACATTTATAAAAATACATATTATATTGGTACTTGAGTTAAAACTTTGGTAATACATCATATATTTTTCAGAAGAAGTTTCGAGTCATCCACTGGGGTAGAATAAAAATTACCTTTAGAAGACAAATTCTTGCTCAAAATCATTTTTTGCCAAAACTTGTAAGTACTGTTCCTGGTAAAGTGTTTTTTCTCTGTTCTAGTAAAAATTTCTTTCATATAGGATGGACATTTGTTATGTTGAATATTAAAGACATGGTTAAAACGGAGCTGTTTCACCCTGCCCCCAACATCCAACATATTAACTTGTTCCAATTCCCGATGGGTGACTCTTGATCTATTATCAAGTTTCAGAATAAATCTGACCACTTTATTGTGTGTAATTTGAACTTTTTGTCGAAGTTTTTTGGATAGTCCCTGTAATTATCGCTACCAGTATTGATTACTACTCATATCAACGGTCTACCAACTATCTCCTAAAATATATCATTTTATTGATGAAAAGCGTTTTATAGACTGCATAGTCTGTGTGTAAATGGAATGTGTGCCCCACCCCAACCATTTTCACTTCAACACCACCAATATGTGCGTTGGGGTTCAATCTATACACCGTGTCTTGAAAACAGTTGAGATCTCAACAGTTTAACCCCACCATGCTGAATAATAAAAAAAAAAAGGCATAAAGACACATTGGGACCTTGAAATCATTTAGTTAAAAAGCGTAGATCTAGCTCCACTGGGGTCTGAGGTGATACATGTATGCCAAAAAGGGGAAGCTGGGTGATAAATATTAGAAAGCCTACTCCTCTAGACCACTCTGAGGCATTCCTGGGATGAGGAGTGTTGTATGAGGACGGTATGAACTGTCGTAAAATTTGTACTGTGTGTAATCGGTAATAATATTTGTACAATGTGGACAGTTGACTGTAGCACTATCTTTTCCTGTCTTATAAGTGTATAGCTACCACAAGGATCTGTACGAGTGTATGTTTGTAGCATGATCTTTGCTCCTTCTATCAACCACAGGAAAAATGTAGCACAATCATTGTCTCTACTATATTATAAAGCTACCACAGGGAACTGTAGCACAATCATTGTCTCTACTATATTATATAGCTACCACAGGGGTCTGTAGCACGACCATTGTCTCTTCTATATTATATAGCTACCACAGGTGATTGTAGCACGATCTTTGCCTCCCCTAGAGTATATATATAACTAACGCAGGGGACCGTAGCACAATCATTGTCACTACTATATCATAACGCTACCACAGGTGACTGAAGCACGACCACTGCCTCCCCTAGAATATATATATAACTAAAACTGGGGACAGTAGCACGATATTTCCCTCCCCTAGATTATATAGCTACCACAGGGGACTGTAGCACGATCATTGCCTCCCCTGGAGTATATATATAACTAGTAGCATGATATTTGCCTCGCCTAGAGTATATAACTACACAGGTGATTGTAGCACGATCTTTGCCTCCCCTAGAGTATATAGCTACCACAGGGGACTGTAGCACGATCATTGCCTCCCCTAGAGTATATATATAACTAGTAGCATGATATTTGCCTCCCCTAGAGTATATAGCTACCACAGGGGACGGTAGCACGATATTTGCCTCCCCTAGAGTATATAGCTACCACAGGGGACTGTAGCACGATCTTTGCCTCGCCTAGAGCATATAACTACACAGGTGATTGTAGCACGATCTTTGCCTCCCCTACAGTATATAACTACACAGGTGACTGTAGCACAATCTTTGCCTCCCCTAGAGTATATAGCTACCACAGGGGACGGTAGCACGATCATTGCCTCCCTTATAGTATATACATGTAGCTACCACAGGAGACTGTAGTACGATCCTTGTCGTCTCTATAGTATATAGCTACCACAGGGGACTGTAGTACGATCCTTGTCGCCTCTATAGAATATAGCTACCACAGGGGACGGTAGCACGGAATCTGAGTGCACTATCAAATGCTGTACTGAAAGTTCTATAGTATATAGCTACCACAGGGCACTGTAGTACGATCCTTGTGGACTTTATAGTATACAGCTACCAAAGGGGACTGTAGTACGATCCTTGTGGCCTTTATAGTATATAGCTACCACAAGGGACTGTAGTACGATCCTTGTGGCCTTTATAGTATATAGCTACCACAGGGCACTGTAGTACGATCCTTGTGGCCTTTATAGTATATAGCTACCACAGGGCACTGTAGTACGATCATTGTCGCCTCTATAGTATATAGCTACCACAGGGGACTGTAGCACGGAATCTGAGTGCACTATCAAATGCTGTACTGAAAGTAATATTTTGTTTGACATGTAGAGACCAAAATATTATTATGCGGGAAATAGAATGTCTAAAACATTGCATCACCTATCCTTTCCCCTTTTTTTAAGTAAAAAGGCATTGTGGGATAAGTATGAAACTTTCACAACTTAAATATCATCATATGCTTATCCCAAAATGTCTTTTGTGTACAATCAGTGCATAAACATTGGAAATAGGCACAACAATTGATGAAACAATGAAATGGGTTAACTTTAACGATTAAAACAGATACTTTCCTTGAAGCTAGGAGACTTAAAATTACCAACAAATCAATTTTCATATGTAAAACGAATCATTTTACTGTAGTTGCGATGGCAAATGCCATTTTTTATTTGTAAGTTAACTATGAAGGCAAAGAAAACAAATCAGGACCTGGAACTCTCTTCAGCCACAGGTGCTTAACACATATTATATGATATATATGATATAAATGATATACAATTTTAACAATTACTATCATATACGTATAGCATATAAAGGGCGTTCTGCACCTTTTAATTCACCTAAGATAGAGAAGTATTTGAAATTGCCAAGTTTGAGATGTGTCCAGAAGCCATAAATTAGTATAAAACAAAAGGAAAGTGTGTAGTGAATATGTGTTTTTTTTTTATAAACGATCTTTAAGTGACGATTGGATTTCTGTCATTTTTCATTCTTTAATATATATATGCCTGTTTAGTTTACACATATTTCCAAAAATAGAAATGGAACTTTTTTGGTTTTTAAGCTCATTTTGTAAACAGCAAATTATATTTTTGATTTACCCTACTCCTTGTGGTACCCCAAAAACTCACTTTCGGTCAAACTATTACCGTAGTGTTTGCGCATGTAATACAATAGGACAAACCGAGGCCCATCCACTATACTCTAGGTGTTACGCTCACTTTCGCTCTCTGCACCCCGTGAATATGTAATAGCAAAATTTACGGCACGAAGATAGCTGTTTGATTGGTCTCAGGTAAAAGAAACTGACCAATCGCTAGACTGATACCTGTCCTTTGAAGATTACAAATGAGAGACGCCCGACTTCAAAGCCTGTCAATTTTTATTGTTACGTGACCGCGAGATTCTTTTGATGAATATCAAAGGATCTAACTAGTCTTCTTGTCTCTCATCAGTAAGGTTGCGCGCATTGAGTCTTCAATTTTGCTATGACATATTCCAGGGCATCCTCGATATCCAGGGGTTACGCTCACTTTCGCTCTCTGCACCCCTGGAATATGCCATAGCAAAACTGAAGGCACGAAGATAGCTTTTAGGTCTTTGGTCTCAGGTAAAAGGAACTGACCAATCGCTAGACTGATGCCTGTCTTTTGAAGATTACAAAGGGGAGACGCCCGACCTCAAAGCCAGTCAATTTTTACCGTTACGTGACCGCGAGATTCTTTGATGTACATCAAAGGATCAAACTAGTCTTCTCGTCTCATCTTCAAGGGGCTGCACACTGAGCCTTCGATTTTGCTATGGCATATTCCAGGGGTGTAGAGAGCGACAGTGAGCGTAACCCCTGGATATCGAGGATGACTCCAGGGGTGCAGAGAGCGAAAGTGAGTGTAACTCCTGGAGTGTCGAGGATGATTCCAGGGGTGCAGAGAGCGAAAGTGAGCGTAACTCCTGGAGTGTCGGGGATGACCGGGACCCAAAATGGGCCGGATAGATACTTATCCTTTACCAATGTTTCACCTCGACGAAGTTGGTTTGCTAATGACTTACTTTTACATCGGAAGTTCATGTATACATGCCTACTTTATATACCAAGTGACAACCAAATCACGTGACTTTTATTCCGGAAACTTGTATCTCGGAAACAACGTATACCGTCACCATGATAACTAATTGTTTGTTATATCGGAAAGGAAACAACTGTATTGCGTGGAGAAAATAGTTTAGTCATCAGGTTACTTGTATATCTTTTTAATGACCCATGGTATGTTCCTAAACGACGATAATTCTGTACATATGAAATGCCAGAAAATGTATAAGTTCGTGACCTGCTCATGAATAATCGAAACAGCTTGTGTGTTGGAGCAAACGGAGATCGTGTTTAAAGAAGGTGATACTTTTTTACGTGGATAGTAAAATGTAATATAGGTAGTTTGTTTAAGAAATAATACCCATCTTTAAACGGTACCAAGCATTTTTGTACAACCGCTAGAACTGGAAATGTGTTTGTAATGAGAGTAAGTCAGATTGGGTCGATTTTTCGAGATCAAATGCTTTGCACCCTTCGAATATAATCCATATTTAGGGTTTATTTGTTACCTATAGTTGATCTTAACCCTTAAATAGTCTAAAAATACCCTTAACACATTAGTTTAGATCGTAACATATCTGCTGTAACAAATTCTCGTGTCCCTGTGATCACACACCCACCCATGCAACTATCCTTTATCCTGATAGGGCCGTCCAACTTCGTGTACATAGTTCTCCACACCCAGCCCTCGGACACGCCCGCTGAGCTGGAGCACATGGTGTCTGCCTATGAAAACATCACCGCCCTCTTGGGGGTCCAGGTATGACGTCACTTAAATGCACAGACAGATAATTGAACAGATAATAGATCATATGTCATAATCTTCGTCAAAAGCGCTTCAATTTTAAACCAACTTCTATGTGACATCAAAGAGACCTGGCCCCAGGATCGTGAAACAAACTCAAATCTTTCGTATTAAGTTTTGGCTTTGCCAGTGGCAACGCCATGAAAAGTGACGTCATATGTGATTGGCTAAACAAAAACTGTTAAAAGTCTAAGATTATTTCATGATCCCGGGGCCTGGTGCATCTGATTCAACGGAATAAAACTAGAATTTCAACCAACTGAGATCACACCAATCATATAACCAGCATCTAACACCACTTAGCGTTGTTGTTTGGTTATCCTCGGTGCTCTGAGGTGTCAGTAAATGTTTATTATATCTCACCAGAACGCCATCATAGCCGGTGACCTGAACGCCGACTGTCGTTACCTGTCTCACACTCACTATAACACAAACCTCCTACAAACTGACAAACGCTTCACCTGGCTCATCGACAGTGACGCCGACTCCACAGTTTCCACCACTACCGACTGCGCCTACGACAGGTAACTGTACATGTGTTGATGGTTCTTAACTCACATTTTCGAAGAGTTGATAGTTTTTAACTCTCATCATTGCATTCTCACATTGTTGATGCTTCCGACCACCTTGAAGTCTTTTTTATGGTTTGTATCAACGGTATCAACTACCTCCGGCTCTGTGTAATAAAATTGTCGTGTTCATCGACTGTAACTCCCATTATTGTTTCGTCTTCGTATTGGTGGCTCTTATTACATGTTGTTGCAATGTTTTGTTCATGGTTCCTAAATGCGTGTGGTCAAGTATTTATTCTGCCTAGCTTTATGTCTTGTTGGCAACAATTAACCTAAATACAGAGTAGTATCGACGATTGTTAAAACGCTACGTGTTTGTCTCCATATGACTGGTTCGTATTTCTTCCTGACAGCGTGCTCTTTGTTGTTGACTGGCATGGTGGTTACCCTTTTTGGTTGACAGTTGACAATGAAAGAGTTATCTCCACCTTAATTACTTGTTACCGATTCTATTACAGATTTATCATTGCCGGGGACGAAATGAAGAACAGTGTTGTACCTAACAGTGCACGCGTGTATAACTTCCAGCAAGAGATGAACCTCACGTACAACGAGGTTAGTAAATACGTCCCTGCTAATCAGTTGTACATGTATTACAAAGGAACAGACTTCCTGTTATTCCGGATATATCGTTGTTATCGTCGGTGAATGGCACCACCGGGTAAAAATATTGTATTACCATTAACACCCTAACTACATTATGTTTTATGAAATATTTAAGTCATTTTAATACGTCCGTCAGATTTGACGGGAGTATACTATGGTATGGTGTCGTCCGTCCGGCGTAAACTTTTGTTTGTCCGGCAATCTCCTCCTACATTTTTCAACCGATCTCTTTTAAACGTGGTATACATTATAATCATGATATGAAGTTGTGTTTCCATAAAATGAATTTTGATTCGACAATTTTTGCAAAAGTTATTTCCCTTTGTTTATTTCAGTATTTGGGGGGGGGGGTTGTCTGGAGATATCATAAAGTTTTTATCGATTTATTTTAAACTTGGTAGGCTTTATAATCATGAGATGTTGTTGTGTTTGCACAAAAAGAACTTTGATTCGACAATTTTGGCAAAAGTAATTGACCTTGCTAATTTCAGTATTTGATTTTTGACCGGCAATCTCCTCCTACATTTTTCGACCGATCCAGTTGAAACTTGGTATACATTATAATCATGATATGTTGTTGTGTTTCCCTTAAAAGAATTTTTATTCAACAATTTTTGCAAAAGTTATTTCCTTTTGTTTATTTCAGTATTTGGGGGTTTTTTTGTCCAGAGATCTCCTCCTACATTTTTTTATCGATTTCTTTGAAACTTGTAAGGTTTTATTATCATGCTATGTTGTTGTGTTTCCCTGAAAAGATTTTGATTTGACAATTTTTGCAAAAGTTATTGCCCTTTTTTATTTCAGCATTTGATTTTTGTCCGGCGATCTCCTCCTACATTTTACGACCGGTTTCTTTGAAACTTTGAAGGCTTAATAATCATAATATGTTGTTGTGTTTGCACAAACAGAATTTTGATTCGATTATTTTTGCAAAAGTTATTGCCCTTTGTTCATTTCAGTATTTGATTTTTGTCCAGAGATTTCCTCCTACTTTTTTCGATCGATTTCTTTGAAACTTGGAAATCGTTTTGTCATGATATATAGTTATGTTTCTTCGAAAAAACATTTTGATTCGACTATTTTTGCAGAAGTTACAGCCCTTTGTTTATTTCTAATACTTGAATCTTGTCCGGAGATCACCTTCTACAGTTTTCTATCAATTTCTTTGAAACTTAAAATTGGTAGGCTTTATAATCATGATATAAAGTTGTGTTTAATGAGTTGGAGACTCATCTTTTGATTACTTGTTTTCCTCAAACTGTTCGAAAATTAAGGAAAACCGAACATTGACTTTGCAGTGAAAGGTGAGATGTATAGCATGCTAGCTAGCCAATCTTAATGTGATGCAAATCTTGTTTTAATGCAAGATAATATATAACACTATATGGCATTCGCCGGGCGTATATTGTTCCGCCCTGCGCTACTCTAGTTACATATGCATTCAAGATAAAACCCATCTTAAGATTTTTTACTGTTGTCCGAGATTTTGATACTTGGCAGCAAAAATACAAAAAAAAAGGGGAAACACAGAAATTACAAAAAATATCGAACTCGATTTCTATCCACTGTCGACCCTGCACTTACGTTTAACCTATGTTGCTGTCCAGGAATTGTAAATCTCACTATATCAAAATAGAATAGTTAGCCAAGGGAAGTAACTCTAAGCCAGAAAAACCACACGGCGAATGATTCTTGTTATACATTAGGTGCTTGTCTATCCACAGAGCATAGCCGTAAGCGACCATTTCCCCATAGAGATGGAGATCAGTGGATGAGGAGGCAGAGCCAAGGCAGGCCGTTCGGAAGATCAACATGTTCTCTGTTAATGTAACGATAAATACGAGACAGGCCGTTCGGAAGATCAACATTTTCACTGTTAATGTAACGACAAATACATTGCTTGTTAATACAACATGTTTTGAATATTGTCAACTAATTATGTCCATAGAAAAATTCTTGGGTCTATTTTAGGGGATTAAAATGGGGTCTATATGTATTGTTTTGACGAATGGAGTATAAAAAAAACACAATTAAATACGATTATAGAAGGGGTAGCCAACTGAACCGCTTTCAGTTGGCGTTCATAGTCAGGATGAATGCCAAATGGAAATCATATTTTTTTTTATTTCTTAGTACAATATAGTGGCAATGACAAAAAGAGGTAAATATATAAGGATATACTCCCATAAAGTGCCTGCTTTATCATGCTTTAGTTGCCAAATCAAATCCGGAGGTTAGGGGTCAAGGTCACAATTAAATCTCACGGTTTTCAAGTTTCTGTGACGGTAACGCATTAATGACGTCACCATTAAAAAAAATATTCTTCGTCTATTCATTTACGTCCAAAAAACCCTTTGTTGTCTTATCAAAGCTTTACATATCATCCTAGAGCAGCTGCACTGTTTCTCACGACAGAATTCACCATACTAGAATTCGTTCAGTGTTTATCAATGACCGAATACATACACTGCCCACATTGCACATATATATATATATAGACCGCTCTGCAAGTTCGTTTTGACATATCGTTCATATAATGTTTCACCTTTGTGTAAATAAAAATAAGTTCCAGCCATATGTTCGTATACAAAGAAATCATTAGAATGTGTACACTTACCAGTTAAAACGCCGACAATGCTTCACAAACGTTAAGAAAACGCTTTTCCAAAAACGTATGAACAGATAGTATCTGGTCAACAGGGCCTTTCACATACGAGTCACCAACCCTTTACGGTATGATAAATGCCTCATTCGTGTAAACAAATTGTCAGCATTTTTTTTTTACCAAACTTTACCTCGAACGTAGTCATAAAAAAAATATTTTAATTTCCAAATCACATTACGGGTCGTTTAACATTATATTTGTTTATTCTGTTGTACGTACGATCCGATCTTGCATCACGATAACTTTGAACGAAAGTGTCACCACTATGGAACAGTAGATTCATTCCATAACATAAAATAATTTTACCATCCGTGGCATAATATTAGCTTCTCGTGTGGTCCTCGCGTGTTTTCGCGTCAGTACAGAATCAAAGATATGCACCAAACTTCACAGCCATTATCCCGAAAAAAACTAGAAAAAAAAGCAAAATCGCAAGCCAGTCGTTATTGTCATAAAAAAGCATCGAAGCAGAGGGCTCCATTTCGCATGCATATGATATTTTTTAAATGTTAACTTTGAGACCCCTCCCAATGCAATGCATAACATACAGAAATGAACAATGTCATCTATTTGTTTTCTCCGCTACATTAAAATTGTAATTGACATTTTGACAAACGGCGACATTACACGCCGAACATGTCGATTTCGACATGCAAGCTCCCGGCTCATAGTTCAATGGCGTCATTAGAGGACGTCTGCTATCTTTACGGGAGTCATATTTCAATCAACTTTGTATTGGATCCAGTCCATGGTGTGTGTTTTAATATGAATTTGTAAGACATCCGCAAAATATTATTTAAGGCATCAATGGATCGAATAGTAACCAGAGGCAGATCTTTGAAAACGTCCGCCACTTCACGCGAGGTAAACAGATCCGAAGTCAAATCTTTTGCTGTGTCCTATGAAGCTGAACATTTGAACTCCCGAATAAAATTGTACCAAAAAAATCAGTGTAAGAGTTTCTTTGTAGCGTTACTCGGTTTTTTTGGTTTCTTTTTACATAATATTTTACAATAATTGTTACAGCCGCTTTTCTCTCAGGTTTTCGTTTGAGCAGCTCACCGACCCTCTACACCATTATTTAATGGTATCTACACAATCTATAATTGTCAGTGTAAAGATCGTTTTTTGAGGTTGCCGAAGCCCTACAATGGGTCTGGAGGCGTCAAACAATTAACTTATAAAAATTCTTGTACTTTTGTTTGTCAAATGAATGCATCAAATCACGTCAAGACGAGATGAAAATGGTAGTTGAACTTTCTGACGTCATAATTGATTCTGTATCTACGGAGATATTATGACGTCATAATTGATATCCTGCCCATCAACACACATACACGCGATAATTCAAGACTTTTACCATGGGGTGTTTCGGTTTCCTAAAACGTCGTAGATCACCAAAAGTCCATCCTTACATGGACGAAGAAGAAATGAAAGATATACCACCACAAGTTCCCTATGGGAAGAAGTATTTCCTCCTGGGGCTTGATCCCCCACCACGTGGATGGAAGGTTTTCTTCACCTTTCCCCACTGGAAACGAGACAGGAAAGGGGTTTGTTGGATCAGGGACAATGACCCAATTTACCCGTGTCCGCCACCACCACCTCCAACTCCACCTCCGGCTAGAGCCAGACCATTGCTTCGCCCTCTGCCAGCTCTTCCACCTTCTGCAACTTCCGGTTTTTCTGCAAAGCAACTTACCGTTAAATGTCCTGAAGTTCTCAATTTCGGAATCAAATGATATGGAAAATCTATTTGCTGGCTGAGTTGGCAAAGACGTCAAGATATTTATTCTCGAATATTGCCAAAAGTGATGACAGACGCTTTTAAATGCAGTAATTTTGTAACCTGCAGATGATCTTCTTCCAATAACCTCCGGTGTATTGTCGCATTGATCATGTATCGATATTCCAAAAAAAATCGAAGATTCCGGGGCCAGGCCAGGCCAGGCCAGGCATGAAATATACTGCCATATAAGGAGATTGCTCATCAAAGATTCCTAGAGCAAGTGTGTTGACATTGACGATTACAAACATTTACCTGCTTAAATATCCAATTAAATGTTGATATAATATTTCTTAATGACTAATAAAATGTTACAAAAAGTTTTTCTTTGTTTTTCTGTACTTTTAATTGGTGTTGTTGGACTAAGTTCGGAGTTAGGGGCAAAACAAATCCCCATTTCTCATCTACATGCCAAGTAAACGACCGACAAGAGGACTCGTAACTATTTAATTCATTAACATCCTAAACTGCTAACAGAGTCATACATTAATATTACCGACAAATCAAAACTGCTTTGTATGAGTGTGCGACGCTTGATACATCCTCAGCATCTTTGGGATCATCCTAAAATACCCTAGGGTTACACTCAGCATCTCTGGGATCATCCTAAAATACCTTAGGGTTACACTCAGCATCTCTGTGTTCGTCCTAAAATACCATAGGGTTACACTCAGCAACTCTGGGATCGTCCTACAATACCTTAGGGTTACACTCAGCATCTCTGGGATCGTCATAAAATACCCTAGGGTTACACTCAGCATCTCTGGGATCTTCCTAAAATACCCTAGGGTTACACTCAGCGTCTCTGGGATCGTCCTAAAATACCCTAGGGTTACACTCAGCATCTCTGGGGTCGTCATAAAATACCCTAGGGTTACACTCAGGATCTCTGGAATCATCCTAAAATACCCTAGGGTTACACTCAGCATCTCTGGGATCATCCTAAAATACCATAGGGTAACACTCAGCATCTCTGGGATCGTCATAAAATACCATATGGTTACACTCAGCATCTCTGGGATCATCCTAAAATACCATAGGGTTACACTCAGCATCTCTGGGATCGTCCTAAAATACCCTAGGGTTACACTCAGAATCTCTGGGATCATCCTAAAATACCATAGAGTTACACTCAGCATCTCTGGGATCATCCTAAAATACCCTAGGGTTACACTCAGCGTCTCTGGAATCATCCTACAATACCCTAGGGTTACACTCAACATCTCTTGGGTCGTCATAAAATACCCTAGGGTTACACTCAGCATCTCTGGGATCATCCTAAAATACCCTAGGGTTACACTCAGCATCTCTGGGATCGTCATAAAATACCATAGGGTTACACTCAGCATCTCTTGGATCGTCATAAAATACCATAGGGTTACACTCAGCATCTCTGGGATCGTCATAAAATACCATAGGGTTACACTCAGCATCTCTGGGATCATCCTAAAATACCATAGGGTTACACTCAGCATCTCTGGGATCGTCCTAAAATACCATAGGGTTACACTCAGCATCTCTGGGATCATCCTAAAATACCATAGGGTTACACTCAGCATCTCTGGGATCGTCATAAAATACCATAGGGTTACACTCAGCATCTCTGGGATCATCCTAAAATACCATAGGGTTACACTCAGCATCTCTGGGATCATCCTAAAATACCCTAGGGTTACACTCAGCATCTCTGGGATCATCCTAAAATACCATAGGGTTACACTCAGCATCTCTGGGATCGTCCTAAAATACCATAGGGTTACACTCAGCATCTCTGGGATCATCCTAAAATACCATAGGGTTACACTCAGCATCTCTGGGATCGTCCTAAAATACCATAGGGTTACACTCAGCATCTCTGGGATCATCCTAAAATACCATAGGGTTACACTCAGCATCTCTGGGATCGTCCTAAAATACCATAGGGTTACACTCAGCATCTCTGGGATCATCCTAAAATACCATAGGGTTACACTCAGCATCTCTGGGATCGTCATAAAATACCATAGGGTTACACTCAGCATCTCTTGGATCGTCATAAAATACCATAGGGTTACATTCAGCATCTCTGGGATCGTCATAAAATACCATAGGGTTACACTCCGCATCTCTGGGATCATCCTAAAATACCCTAGGGTTACACTCAGCATCTCTGGGATCATCCTAAAATACCATAGGGTTACACTCAGCATCTCTGGGATCGTCCTAAAATACCCTAGGGTTACACTCAGCATCTCTGGGATCATCCTAAAATACCCTAGGGTTACACTCAGCATCTCTGGGATCATCCTAAAATACCCTAGGGTTACACTCAGCATCTCTGGGATCATCCTAAAATACCATAGGGTTACACTCAGCATCTCTGGGATCGTCCTAAAATACCATAGGGTTACACTCAGCATCTCTGGGATCATCCTAAAATACCCTAGGGTTACACTCAGCATCTCTGGGATCATCCTAAAATACCCTAGGGTTACACTCAGCATCTCTGGGATCATCCTAAAATACCCTAGGGTTACACTCAGCATCTCTGGGATCATCCTAAAATACCCTAGGGTTACACTCAGCATCTCTGGGATCATCCTAAAATACCCTAGGGTTACACTCAGCATCTCTGGGATCATCCTAAAATACCATAGGGTTACACTCAGCATCTCTGGGATCGTCCTAAAATACCATAGGGTTACACTCAGCATCTCTGGGATCATCCTAAAATACCCTAGGGTTACACTCAGCATCTCTGGGATCATCCTAAAATACCATAGGGTTACACTCAGCATCTCTGGGATCGTCCTAAAATACCATAGGGTTACACTCAGCATCTCTGGGATCATCCTAAAATACCCTAGGGTTACACTCAGCATCTCTCGGATCATCCTACAATACCCTAGGGTTACACTCAGCATCTCTGGGATCATCCTACAATACCCTAGGGTTACACTTAGCATCTCTGGGATCGTCCTAAAATAGCCTAGGGTTACACTCAGCATATCTGGGATCATCCTACAATACCCTAGGGTTACACTCAGCATCTCTGGGATCATCCTACAATACCCTAGGGTTACACTCAGCGTCTCTGGGATCGTCCTAAAATAACCATAGGGTTACACTCAGCTTCTCTGGGATCATCCTAAAATACCCCAGGGTTACACTCAGCATCTCTGCAATCATCCTAAAATACCCTAGGGTTACACTCAGCGTCTCTGGGATCATCCTAAAATACCTTAGGGTTACACTCAGCGTCTCTGTGATCGTCCTAAAATACCCTAGGGTTACGCTCACTTGCGTTCTCTGCACAGAACAAAGAAAGCTTAACCCCTGGAATTCCGAGTAAGCCCTGGAATGGTCATGACAAAACTGAAGGCATGCGGTTAGCTATTTAATTGAATTCAGGTTAAAAAAAAAGAAAAAAAGAGAGACTAATCACTAGGCTGATACCTGTCATTTGAAGATTACAGAGGAGCGACACCCGACTTAAAAGCCGGTCTATTTACCTGTTAGCTGCTTCGCAATTCTTTTGATGTACATTGTACTTTAAGATGATCAAAATCGTCTACTTGGATCATCCTAAAGTTGGCGTATACAGAGCCTTCGATTTCGTCATGACATATTCCAGGGATGCAGAAAACGAAAATGATCAATACCACTGGGATTTTTGGAATGCGCTGGATATAAGTTTGAATAGAATGTTTTGCCCTGAAAACATAAATTGTTTTTAAGATGTTGTTTTAAGTTATGCATGCCAGAAATCAACATATTGTCCATGACAGCATTTTGAAAAGTTAGTTAGCTCTTATCCAGTTGATAAAGATTCGTTCTCAACTCTTTCCGTGTATAACGAGAATACCATTTATATATAGAATACATCAAACGCGCCTCCTTGGTGGGTCCGCGGTCAGAGATCCTCAGGCAATTTCTGGTATAATTTGACCCGAGGTACCGTAATCATTGATATACTCCGACAGGGGCCCGCATACATATATATATACATGTACATACTCAACTCGATCAGTTAAATGGCTCATATACATATGATTACCGTGGTAGCGATACAGGTTTCTGTTTATATTAAGTCTTTCAAAAAGGTGCTACATTATAGCACAGTGATCTTTGATTGTGCCAGCTCTAATCAACAGGCATAAAAGAATAGTGAGCTGATAGATAAAGCCATAATTCGAACTCA